GCCACTTATTAGAAAGTGTTTCTTTTCCTATGACTGAGATAAGCCTTTACCATATACCAATTATTCATGTGAGCCTGTTTCCGGATTTTTAATATTCTGTTGTATTTGTCCACTCATGTGTTGATTTCATGCTATTTTAATTATAAAAGCTTTAAATATGTCTTCATATTTGTTAGAGCTAGCTCTTTTCATTGCTTTTATTTATTAAGGGATATCTATTCCTGCTTATTTATTCTTCTAAATGAACTTTACAATCAACATTGCTAGCTCTAGGGAAAAAGACTGATGAAATTATATTGAGATTGTGTTGAATTTATAGATTAGCTTATAAAGAATTCACATCTTTATGCTCTTACATTTTCCTATCAATGAACATGCCATGCCTTTGTACTCTTTGGATATTTTAGGAGTGTTTTATAGTTTCTTCATAAAGATTTTTCACATTTCTCACTATGTATATGCCTAGGCACTTTACTTTCTTTTATTTTGCTATTATAAATGGTGTCTTCTCTTTCATTATTTCTTCTAACTGGTTATTACTTGAGTGTGTGTGTGTGTTTGTGTGTGTGTGTATAAAGGCTTTTGATCTCTGCAGGCTAATTTAATATCCTGCTATTTAAATGAATTTTCTTCTTGTTTCTTCTATTTTTTTTCACTCTTTTGGGTTTTTCAGATATATAATATCGGCTGCCTCCCTAAAAGGATAAGTTTTACCTCTTCCTTTCTCATTATTATGCCCTCTATTTGATTTTTACTCTCTAACTGCATTGGCTAATACCTCCAATGCAAGGTTTAAAACTCATGGAGACAATGGACCTCCTTGGCTTGGTCTTCTTTCACTTTAGCATGAAAGCTTCTATCATTTCCTTATTCAGTAAGATGTTGTCCTTTGGGAAAATGTGTGTGTGTATAAAATCATGTTGTGGCAATATTCATAAGGTCCTATTTTAGCCATACTCATCATGAAAAAAGGGAGAGGGCCCAAATCAACAAGATGGAGATGAAATGAAAAAGGAGAAGTTATAACCAATAACACAGACATAGTAAGAATCGTAAGAGACAACTACAAATAACTAAACACCAACAAAATGGACAACCTAGAAAAAATGGACAAATTATTAGAAAGGTACAATTTTCCAAGGCTGAACTAGGAAGAAATAGAAAATATGAACATTATCAATTACCAGTCCTGAAATTGAATCTGTAATTAAAAGATTCCCAATGAACAAAAGTCCAAGACCAGATAGCTTCACAGGTGAATTCTACTAAACATTTAGAGAAGAGCTAACACCTATCCTTCTGAAACTATTCCAACAAATTACAGAGGAGGGAATACTTCTGAACTCATCCTATGAAGCCACCACCACCCTGATACCCAAAGCACACAAAGATATCACAAAAAAAGAAAATTACAGGTACTTCCCTGGTGGTCCAGTGGTTAGAATCCACCTTGCAATGCACAGGACATGGGGGGTTCAGTCCGCTGTTGGGGAACTAAGATCCCATGTGCTACAGAGCAACTAAGCTGTGTACCGCAATTAGAGAGTCCTATGCTACAAAGAAATACCCCACATGATACAATTAAGATCCCGAATGCTGCAACTAAGACCCAGGGAAGCCAAATAAATAAATAAACAGATAAATACTTTTTTTAAAAAAGAAAATTACAGGCTAATATATCACTGATGAACATAGATGCAGAACCGTATTAACAAATTGAAAAATGAAAACAATATGATCACCTCAACAGATGCAGAAAAAGCTTTTGATAAAATTCAACATCCATTTAAGACTCTCCAGAAAGTGGGCATAAGAGGGAACATGCCTCAGCATAATAAAGGCCATATACAGCAAATCCACAGCTAATATTCATACTGAATGGTGAAAAGCTGAAAGCATTTCCTCTAAAACCAGGAACAAGATAAGGATGCTCACTCTTGCCACTTTTATTCAGCATAGACTTAGAAGTGCTAGTCACAGTAAATAAAGAAAAAAGAAATAAAAGGAATCTAAATTGGTAAAGAAGAAGTAAAACTATCACTGTTTTCAGATGATATGATACTATACATAGAAAATCCTAAAGACACCACTGGAAAACTATTAAAGCTCATCAACAAATTCAGTAATGTTGCAGGATGCAAAATTAATGTATGGAAATTGGTTGCATTTCTACACACTAGTGACAAAATATCAGAAAGAAAAATTAAGGAAACAATCCCAATTACACCAAAAAGAATAAAATACCTAGGAATAAACCTATCTAAGAAGGCAAAAGATCTGTACTCCGAAAACTGTAAGACACTGATGAAAAAAATTGAAGACAACATAGATGGAAAGATATACTGTGCTCTTGGATTGGAAGGGTCAATATTATTAAAATGACAATACTATCCACAGTATCTGTATTGATCTACAGATTCAATGCAATTCCTATAAAAACACTAATGGCATTTTTCACAGAACTAGAACAAATAATTTTAAAATTTATATGGAAATACAAACTACCCAAATAGCCAAAACAATCTTGAAAGAAAAACAGAGCTGTAAGAATGATACTCCCTGATTTGAGACTATTATACAAAGCTTTAGTAATCAAAAGAGTATGGTATGGTCAGAAAAACAGACACGAAATGGAACAGAATAGACAGCCCAGAAATAAACCCATAGAGTTATGGTCAATTAATCTTTGACAAACGAGGCAAGAATATACAGTGGAGAAAAGACAGTCTCTTCAATAAGTGGTGCTGTGAAAATTGGACAGCTACATGTAAAAGAATGAAATTAGAACGTTTTCTCACATCTTATACAAAAATAAACTGAAAATGAATTAAAGACTTAAATGGAATACCTGACACCATAAAACTCCTAGAGGAAAACACAGGCAGAACACTCTGTGACGTAAATTGCAGTAATATTATGGATCATTTTTTGGAGAAGGAAATGGCAACCCACTCCAGTATTCTTGGCCTGGAGAATCCCAGGGACAGGGGAGCCTGGTGGGCTGCCATCTATGGGGTCGCACAGAGTCGGACACGACTGAAGCGACTTAGCAGCAGCAGCAGCATGGATCATTTTTAGCATAACTGTCAATTCTTAAATGTATAAGTAGAACAGATAGGTCACATTATTTATCTAAAAAATGTCTGTTAAGTAAAATATGACACATAATCATAGTAGCATCACAGGGAAATGTTCCAGAATGTCTAACCTGGGAAATATATAATCCAAGGAGAGGGGTGTCACATGTGTCAATCACCAATTCAAAATGCGCTATGATGTGGGGCAGGGGCAATATAGCATTGTGGCCCTCTGAATGAAAAAGGCCCAGAGTAGAATCCTAACTCCGCAACTCACTTTGTGATCTTGAACAAATTACTCAGCATCTCAGAGCCTCCATTTCCTTTTATGTAAACTCTGATAATGAGAGTAGCTACTTTAAGGATTATTGTGCTTTGTGAGGTAATCATCGCAGAGATTTAGTTCACAACTTGGCACAAAATAAATGTTCACTAAAGGGTAGCTATTATCATTAAGTGCCAAAATGAATAGTAAAGATAATAAACACCATGAGAGGTCTCTGGAGGAGGGGGGCCCTTAAGCTGGTTACATGAAAGCTGTGTAGGGTTTCAATAGACAAAGGGTTGAGGAAGGAAAAGAGGACTTTTTAGGTAGGAAGGAAAGGATCACTAAAATTTAAAAGGTCATCTCAAAACAGTAATTGACTTTAGTTACTGTGTATTTTTTAAAAGGTCCCACTGCCTTCTAAAAGCATCATTATTTAAAATTTGATTTGCTTTCCTCATTACATTTTGCAGAATACTTGAATATGAATAGCATGTTTTATTATGCATGTGAAAGAAAAACATTTTGAATCAAATTCCATGCTATCTTTAAAGCCCCCACTGATCCATCTTTTGTCTTTTTTTTTGTCTAGTTGCTATTTTGCATTTTAATTTGGCCCTGTCTTTTATTTCATTGCACCTATTACCAGAATGCTTGTTTAAACTAAATATTTTGAAGTGTTTCCTATTCAGTATTTGATGAATGTTTATTACTGTAATTCATTGTTCAGAAAAATGTACCATATCCCACATCAGCCATTCCACCCCATTATCCATGGGGTCTAAACTATTTCACAGTCATTAAATGAATATGTTATTTGGGAATTAAATCAACGGAAAGAAAGGAAAACGGCATCCAAAGGTTGTGAGGAGGGAAGGGAGACAGCAATGAGGCTTAGGAAGAGAACAGCTTTCCCTGCAAGTAGGAAATACATAAAAATCCTCAAGCTTTCCCTCCCTCTACTTCCTCATACTGTCTCCCAGTCCTCTAAACGTGGTACAAACTTGTATTAATCTCTCTTCCAGACTAGGGTTGGGAGTGTGGAGGGTGGTTGTACAAACATCTATAGAACATATTGTCTTCCCTTGTGTTGTCTAAGAAGACCCCCCCCAAGTCAAGAATTTGAGTGCCAGTTGTTTATTTGGGAGGTAAACCTAGAAAATATCAGTGTGGGAATGAGGAAGTGAGACAGGAAGGGGCAGGAAGCTAATAAAGGGTATGGTCTTACCAAGAAGTTATCAGGGTCATTCATTCATTTATTTAAATAATAAATGCTTCCTGGAGAAATTCCAGAAAAAAATATATAGTGACAAAATGTGAAGGGTCTGAGGTTTTGCCCTACTTGTAAGCTATTAACTTAGCCTGCCACAAATTCATACTCATGGAAGCTGGCAGAAGACAGGGTTGGAGGCAAAGGAATGTGTCACGTGTGGCACAGCTGGCAGCCCCTATATCTCACAGGACAAGGGAGAATGGCCCAGGTGGATGCTGCTTATATGGTATTTATCACAAAGTTCCCATCCCCCATTGGCGAGGGCTGTTCCTGGGGCATTAATTCTGTGGCATTTCTGGCCCACTGATCATTCCACCATACTTAGTTGCCAGAGCCAGTCCTGATCAAAATGTGGAGTTGGCTTTAATTGACAACCTCCCCGTCTTCAAACTTTCCCTAAGGCGATTCTGTCTCCATCTTCCACAGGAGAAGACAGGTCCACACTTTCATGTATCTTGATCTCTTCTTTTATTCTCAGTGAAGTCTGCCTTTGTAAACTCCTCACAGGGGCTTCCCAAGCGGTGCTAGCAGTAAAAAACCCGCCTGCCAATGCAGGAGATGTAAGAGATGCAGGTTCCATCTCTGGGTCAGGAAGATCCCTGGAGGAGGAAATGGCAATCCCATGGACAGATGAGCCTGGCTGGCTACAGTCCATAGGGTCGCAAAGAGACTGAAGCAACTTAGCACAACGCATGACGTGACATCTGTACTAGGGAGGAAACGGCTGGCAGCAGTCATTTTAACCATGGAACTGGGATGGAGTCTTAAAGCTAAAGATATAAACACCCTATCTGTGGAGACTTCAGATATCAGATAGCAAATGGAAGAGGCTATGGGGAAAATGCCTACTTCACTAAAGCTGGGATTTCCTGGATGTTTTGCCTGATGTCCGAATCCCCGGGCGGGAAGAGAGAAGGCTTCCTTCCAAGACAATGCAATTCGCAAAAAGGGAAGTTTATTACTGACTCGAGTCAGGGCCTTCTGCCGCAACCAACGCAGTGGTGCAGGGTCAGAAAAAGCCTTGAGCAGAGGCTGTTACCCAAATTTATAAGGTATGCATAAGCGGTTAGTAGCTGGCTTAAGCGGATTGGTTACATGTTTGCAAAGCAATTTTATTGGTACAAACTTTCGCGGGCTTTTTTTCAAACCTGGGCGTTCGCGGGCTTTTCAGCTCTCCCTTTGTTTCTTACTGGGCGCATATTGATTGGCTGGCTCCAGGTTACCTGATGGGGGTAGGGAATCTTACCATTTCGGGGGAAGCCAAAACTTAGGTCCAGGCCGCCTGTCATGGTATTAACCCTGGCAGCCTCACATTCCCCCCTGTCTTGTTGTTCCTGTAGAGGAATCTTTCTCTTCATCCTGGGCTACCATCTGATATTGTTGCCTCACCATAATCTGAATGGTATTTAGACGTTCTTTAATAAATGACATTAGCCGGTTTAAAATACAAGGGCCAAACGTGAGTGTTAATAATAGCACTATAAGTGGGCCCAGGAGGGTGGAAACTAAGGTGGTCAGCCAGGGGGAGCATTGAAACCAAGACTCAAACCATCCCTGCCGGGCCTCCCGTTCCCTCTTTCATTGCGCCAGTCCCTCTCTCACTTTTGCCATAGATTCTCTTACCACTCCTGTATGGTCTGCATAGAAACAACATTCTTCTCCCAGAGCCGCACAGACCCCACCCTGTTGGAGAAAAATCAAGTCTAATCCTCTCCTATTCTGCAAGACCACCTCAGACAAGGAAGTCAGAGACTTCTCTAAGTGGCTGATTGATTCTTCTATGCGAGTTATATCTTCATCTCTAGCGGCTCGTAGGGAGGAAAACCCTTGGCCTTGCAGGGATAGTGAAGCTATTCCTGTCCCTGCTCCTGCCAGCCCAAGACTGAACAAGGCTGCCATGGTGATCGCACTGATTGGCTCTCTCTTTTGTCTTAGTATTTCCCGGTCCCAATGTGAGTACATAACCTCTTCAGAGTGGTATAAGAGTTTTGGCATTACAGCAACCAGGACACAGAATTCTTGACTCTGGTTAAAAATCTTCACATTTAAACATGGGGTTAGCCCAGTATGTGAACAAATCCACCAACCCCCAACCTCTGGCACAATCCAATTTTTGCCGTGTAAGCATTAGTTACTAATAGTCCGGGCCCAGAGGGGAATTTTATCATGTGGCACTGTGCCCAAACAGAGGCCCTGTCCCCAAACTTCATTCATTGTGGGGCCAACCTTGCATTCTTCCCATCGGCATTGGGGTGGGTTCTGGCCTGAAGACAAGTTGTAAGAGACATTGAGGCCTATGGCCTCATAGAAGTGGGGGGGGGGTGAAGATTATAACAAAGCCAACAGGATTGGGTCGCATTAGGGCTGGTATGGTTTAAGACTGTAAAGGTTGCATTCACTAAGGCCCATAGGGGGTCCTGAATTGCTGAGCTAGTGGAAACAGCCAGAGGGCCAGGGGTTTCCGTCAGTTTGCCTCTGAGGCTCGGGGTAGAGGAGATGTTAAATGTTCCCGGCGAGCTTGGTCTGGAGGTGGTTGGCTTGGGGGTCGCCTTGCGCCCCTGTAATGTTTTGACCAGATTGGGACCTAAACTATGTACCTGCACCAGCTCAATAACCTGTTTAATGATTAAAAGCTCGCCTGGGTAAGGGCCAGGCCAATTTACGTGAAGCTGAAAACCCCAAGTCAGTCCTGAGGACCAGCGGTTTTCCTTTTTGCCCGTTCCTGGTTAAATTATACTCGTACCTGAGGCCCCTGGTGTCTACGGTCCTTGAAGGTGAAGCTAACTGGATCTCTGTTTCCGACATCTCACCTCTGGGGTCCATCACAAGAGGTCACACAACTCCAGCTCCTGCAATAATAGCTTTCTATGCCACCACAGGTTTTCCAGTTATTTCTTACATAGCCCAGGCAAGCCCAGAACCCCAACCTATGGTTTTTTATCCCATCCCTATAGTACTTATCATAGAGACTGTCCTGCTTTGCGAAGAGGCTTGAGAGGTCGAAGTTCAGGTCCGGCCACCAGGTGTTCGGAGGGTGGATTCCTGAGGTCTCGCTGAGCAGCTCATGAGTCTGCCCGTCGTTGAGTTTCCAGGTGATCTCAGCAGGTTGATGGGGGTTATGACTGGTCGCTCCTGGGTCGATGAGAGCTGCCATCAGCAGGAGAATTAGGAGGCCTCCCGGCGGGCGAGTTTCAGTTTCAAAGGGTTTGACGGGTGAGGACTCGCCTTCCATTCTGCTCGCGCTTTCTCCTGTTCTTCCAGTGTGGCTTGCCGCACGTGATTGCAGTGAACCCAGGGTCCAATCCCGTCGACCTTGACAGCGGTAGGAGTGGTAAGGAGAACAACATAAGGGCCTTTCCATCTAGGTTCTAATACTTTAGATTGGTGTTGTTTTACTCAAACCCAATCACCTGGGCCAATATTATGTGAGGGGAGGGCCCTCTTATTTTGGCCCTCGTGTATCTCTCGAATCAATTTCCAAACATGGTTATGCACCTTACTTAATGCCATCAGAGTTTTCTGAAATTGTCCCAAAGTAGGGGGTGGCAGGCATTTTCCTTCGAAAATAGGATACACAGGAGAGGGTCTTCCATACAGAATCTCAAAAGGGGTAAGATTCAGCTTATAAGGGGTGTTACGCGCCCGAAAGAGTGCAAAGGGGAGGAGGGTCACCCAGTCCCCGCCAGTCTCTATTGCCAACTTTGTCAACGTTTCTTTTAGGGTCCGATTCATTCTCTCAAACTGTCCTGAGCTCCGGGGATCATATTCGCAATGTAACTTCCATTTCGTCCCCAGAGCTTGGGCCAGCCCTTGTACAATCTGGCTCACAAAGGCAGGTCCGCTATCAGCCCATAGTCACTGGCAGCCCGTACCTAGGCACTATCTCCTTTAAGATCTTTTTAGCAACCACTATTGCTGTCTCTCCCTTAGTGGGGAAAGCTTCTACCCACCCCGAGAAGGTATCTACCAGAACCAACAGATAGCGGTACCCGTACTTGCCTGGCCTTACCTCAGTGAAATCTATCTCCCAGTGTTGCCCTGGCTCTTCCCCTCGGTACCTCGTTCCCGAGTGCTGCTTCTTCTCTGCCCTCATCAGCTGGCACGCTTCGCAGGCTTGAATTATCTCTCGTACAGTTGCATTTTGTCGAGGGAACCTCAGGCAGGCCGTCTGGAGAAGTGTTAGGGTCTTTTTTTCTCCCAAGTGTGTAATTGTGTGCAGGTGTTCACACAGGTGACGACCCAGAGTGGCAGGCAATATCAGGTTGTTGTTTTGATCTCGGTACCATCCATCTTGGTCATCCTTCTGGAGGGTGGTATCCTTGTTGATCCAGGCGAGATCAGGGAGGGAATATTCGGGAACTGGTGGCAAGGTCCCCATACCAGGAGGTGGAAGTCCCACGGCTAATATGGGGGCGGCATAGTCCCCGCTAGCCGCTTCTCGAGCAGCCGCATCAGCGGCACGATTGCCCCGCGCCTTACGGTCCTCTCCTTTCTGGTGACCGGGGACATGTACTATAGCTACTGCCCGGGCCAGTTGGACAGCTTCCAGGAGCCTGCGAATCTTGGGCAAATTTCTGACCTCTTTTCCCTCAGCTGTCCGAAATCCCCTTTCTTGGTATACGGGACCTTGAATATGGGCAGTGCTGAAAGCATATCGGCTGTCAGTAAAAATGGTGACTCTCTTCCCTTTGGCTTGCTCCAGAGCCTGTATTAGGGCAATCAACTCTGGGTTTTGCGCAGAAGTGTTTGGGGGAAGTGTCTCAGCCCATATCGTCTGCCCTGAATCATCAACTATGGCGGCTCCCGCCTTCCTTTGCCCATCTTTTACATAGCTGCTCCCATCGGTGAAGCATACTAGCTCACTGTTGCTTAGGGGTACATCAGTTAAGTCTTTTCGTGCCGCCAGGGCCTCAGCTAGTATCTCACTGCAATCATGGAGAGGGCGGTCCTTCTCTGGGTTAGGTAGGAGCGTGGCTGGATTCAGGAAGCAAGGGGTCTGAAAACGCACCCGTGGGGCATCGAGCAGCAAGGCCTGGTAGTGTGTCAAGCGGGCATTGGAAATCCACTTACCCGGCGGCTGCTTTAAAACCCCTTCGATGGCGTGGCGGGTGTAAACCGAGAGTTGCTGTCCATACGTCAACTTGTCAGCGTCGCGGACGAGGAGGGCTGTCGCTGCAATGATGCGAAGGCAAGGGGGCCACCCAGCGGCCACCGGGTCTAATCGCTTCGAAAGGTACGCTACCGGCCGCTTCCATGGTCCCCATTGCTGCGTCAAGACCCCCTTTCCTATTCCTTGCTTCTCATCTACAAACAGCTGGAATGGCTTATTTGGGTTAGGCAGGGCAAGGGCTGGGGCTTCTAGTAGGGCCCATCTGAGGGTCTGGAAAGCCTGTTTCATTGGCTCAGTCCAAGTCCAGTTTGGGGTCTCTTTACTTCCCTCATACAAGGGCCGGGCCTTCTCAGCAAACCCCATGATCCACAGTCTGCAGTATCCCACAGTCCCCAGAAACTCTCTCACCTGGCGGGGGGTCTTGGGCTCTGGTATCTGCAATATTGTTTCCTTCATGGCCTGGGTTAGCCACCTATGCCCCTGCCTGATCTTATACCCCAAATAGGTGACCTCTTGCCGGGCTATTTGCGCCTTCTTTGCACTAGCGCGATACCCCAAGGTGCCTAGGGTCTGTAAGAGGTCCC